CACTGCAGCAGAGCGACACAAACAACACATGTAAGACCAAGGCACACATCCAGCTGAGATTTCAACCAGGGTGACGCGGACTTCACAAAGGGCTCGGCTGCATTCAGAGCACAGAACCTCCGGCGAACATCTGGAACCTGTGCTCCCTTGTCCACCCGCTTGGCCAAAACTGCCTTCTCATAGGCAGTTTTAAAGCAAGTGGCATAGTTTGCCTCCTTGACAGGATCGACTTCCATGGGGTCTGCGCCATCGCTTGATTCGTTGGAGTTGAAGAAGGCAAATGCATGGTGCACGGGTCTCTCTTTCACGTCGCCAGCTTGCCATGCAACCAAGACACGTCCACGTCCTTGAAGGCGCCGATGGTGAACACGCGCTTGCGCACTGCAGGCCTTGGCCAGCATCAGGCAACACGCACGCTCATTCGGAAAGCCGAATGTATGTCTGCCGACAAGGTGCAGAGGCTTGCTGTCCACGACAAAGTCCATGAACTTGAATGCCCCCTTGAGGTGACGGTCCAGCTGCTCGTGAACCCACTGCAGAACATTCTGGTCAGCTGACTCAGAGGCGCCAGCACGACGTTTTAGGATCCCTGTCACATTTTCCAAGATAAACATTTTGGGACGAATCTTGTGGATGAGTGCGGCCAAGTCAAGCAAAACGTCGCTGTGCTCGTTGCCCACAGCCCCATCTCCCTCCCCCTGGTCGAAGCGGCAGGGGTTTAACTGGGAGCTCCGATTGCAGGGATAGCCTGCAATGAGAAGGTCAGCATCCTGGGAATTCGAGATCGTAGCACAATTCTGCTGGTGAACATGACAGTATGCTTTGTCACCCAGCATGCTCTCTATGGTCTTGAAGAAATGCACAGGAGCTGTGTTGGTCAAGCAGGCTTGAGCAGCAGACTCATTCAGGTCACACCCTGCAAGCTCCACAAAGTCCACATTCATGGCTTTCAAGACCAGAGCGGGAAGTCCGGACCTGAATGTGAGATCCCTCCATGGTTTGCAAGCAACCCTACAGCACACTCTAATAATGGCAAGCGACCCTGAGCAAGCCGTAACGATCTTCAAGCGTGGGGCTGCCAAAGTAGAAGCAAGGTTCATCTCAGTCATGACGCTCTTGATGTACTTCTCCAAGCTAAAAGGCTCCATAACCGTGTTCAGCGACGCATCGATGCCTCCTGAGTAAGTAAGCTTTGCCGGCTTGTCCTTCTTCACAGCTGCAGCTGGTTTTTTCATAGCCTTGCCAC